TGAAACTTCCTCTTATTGTTTATCAAAGGGAATGTTTCGACTGTGACTGTGCGTTTGACTGGTTTGTGGGAAGCAATAGTTGTAAATTATACGAAATTCATATTTGTTTGGGTTCAGGTTTAGGACTTTTGAGTACTGTAACTGATAGTACAGTAGAGGTGATGTATAGCCCAAAGTAGTTCTATGGATGGGGAACCCAAAAATTAAAACTAGGATCCCAAAAATGAAAAAGAAAAAAAAGAAGAAGAATAAGATTAAAGTAGATAATGAGACTTGTTTGGCACTGATTTAGGCCGCTTTGGATGTGTTTAAAATTACTTTCTACATTTTGTTCGCTGTTTTGGTTACTACATTGCAGGCAATGTACATCAAACTATGTTTATTACTTAATATGAAGTTACAAAATTGTCTGATATTTTCATACTATAAATAAATTTGCACATAAATCTATGTCATTGTTGGGTTTTTCTCGTTTTTACCATCAAGAATGGCAGCGTTAACATATTTTATTCGTCAACCCGTCAACTTGTAACATCTATATTGACGTATTTGAGCTGACCCAACCCCCAAAACACAGTCAAGGTTTGTCTTGTTCTTTGGAAGGTTGAAATTGAAGTATTGACCGCTTAATGGAAAGCACTCCGACTTGATACAATTCTGCTTTGTTAACAGAGGGACCTCGAGAGAGGTGGAGCAAGAAGCAACGATGCTGCGGCTGGGTGATTCTCTCCTGGTGCCTAGCGTTCAAGAGTTAGCCAAAAGCTCCCCATCCACAGTTCCCCTTCGATATGTTCGCCCCAACCAAGACCCTCCTTTCCAGTTCATCGACACTTCACCTCAAATCCCTGTTATTGACTTGCACAAGCTGTTGTTCTCCAACAATTCTCAGGATTCTGAACTTCATAAGCTCCATCTTGCTTGCAAAGATTGGGGTTTCTTCCAGGTACTCGCTGTTTTATCCGTCTTCAAAGTTTCCGTTTATATCCTTTTGTGTGAAGTCATTTTCTTTGTGCAGCTGATCAACCATGGAGTGAGTGATGCATTGGTGGAGAATATGAAATCAGGCGTTGAAGCACTCTTTAATCTTCCATTAGAAGAGAAGAGGAAGCTTTGGCACAAACCAGGAGACTGTGAAGGATTTGGACAAAGCTTTGTTTCTCTGAGGACCAGAAGCTTAATTGGGGAGATCTCTTTGGAATGTTTATCCTCCCTGCTTATTTGAGGAAACCCCACTTGTTTCCCAACCTCCCTCTTCCATTCAGAGATGATTTGGATGCTTATGCGTTGGAGATGGAAATTCTAGCTATGAAACTTCTAGACTTAATGGCTAAAGCTTTGAAAATGGAAGGCTGCGAAATGAGAGAGCTGCTTGGAGGAGGAATTGTGTCAACAAGAATGAACTGCTATCCTCCATGTCCTCAACCAGAGCTAGTCATTGGACTCAACAACCATTCTGATGCATCTGGCTTAACCATTCTTCTTCAAGTCAATGAAATGGAAGGCCTCCAAAAAAGGAAGGATGGGAGGTGGATTCCTGTTCAGCCTCTCCCAAATGCTTTTGTTATCAATATTGGAGATATTTTGGAGGTAAAAGCTTTCCTTGTTGTTCTTTCCTATTCTGAATGAACCTCGTAAAACTGATAAATTTCGACGTTGAATATGAACGTTCAGATTGTTACGAATGGAATATATCGCAGCATCGAGCACCGGGTGACCGTGAACTCGGCGAAGGAGAGGCTTTCAGTGGCCATTTATTACAGCCCAAGGTTAGATGGGGAGATAGGTCCTGCTCCAAGCTTGGTCAGTTCAGATAGTCCAGCTTTGTTTAAAAGAATTGGAGTCACAGATTTCCTCAAAGGATTCTTCTCCTAGGAAATGAATGGAAAGTCATATCTTGATGGTATGAGGATCCAAAATGAAGGGACGCATGACTGTTGATTTGGGATAGTTTCTCAAAATAAAATGAAAAGCAGTTGAAGGGAGAGATTTGAACCTTCAACCTTATTGAATATACATATTCGATGCCATGTTCATGTTAGACTATTAATCTAAGATTTCAATAGTGTAAAGTTTCAATTTTTTTTGTTCTACAAAAGAGAAGAAATAGAGGGGTGTGGATCATTGGATTATTGAATAGTTTGTGATCACACGAGTTTTCTTTCTTTTTCTAATGAAATATCCGACCCACAAATTGGGATAGAAAATGAAATAGAGAATGAGGGGCGTGGACCATGGCCAATACATATTTTTGAGTAGCAACTAGTGAAGTTGCAGGTGACCACTCAGCCAAATTCATGGAATCCAAAACTGAGAAGGTTGTCTTTGGAGCATCAATCATAGTTCCAAGCGTTCTGGAGCTAACCAAGCACCCCATCTCTAAGCTTCCCCTTCGCTATGAACGCGACGATCAGGACCCGCCGATCGTTTTCAATGAAGATTCTGAACCGTCGGTACCGGAGGTCGATCTTCACCGGTTGGCCATTGGAGATTTTGCTGCTGCAGAGATGGAGAAGTTGCATTCTGCATGTAAGGAATGGGGATTCTTCCAGGTATGTAAGCTTTGTAAGTACTTTAAAGAGGATGCGTTAGCCAAAGCTAACGACTAAAAACTTGTTTTTGTTTTGAAACTTTGCTATAAATTGAAATACGCAGCTTTGATGAATATGTTGTTGGCAGATTATAAACCATGGAGTTCCCACGTCCTTGGTGAACGAATTCAGAATGGAAATTGGAAGTTTGTTTAATCTTTCCTATGAAGAAAAGAAGCTGCTTTGGCAAAGCCGAGAGAACCAAGAAGGATTTGGGCAGCTGTGTGTGGTGTCAGAGGACCAGAAGCTTGATTGGTCAGACATGTTCTCTACATACTTATTCGCCCTCCTAATCTAAGGAAGCCTCATCTATTCCATAATCTTCCACCAAAACTCAGGTTTTTACAATTGGAAGTCTGATATTCACATGGTTGCTGCAGAGAGGCTCTTGAAGCTTACACAACTGAAGTTCAGAAGTTAGCCATGATTATTTTGAACCATTTGGCTGAAGCTTTGAAGATGGATGGTGAAGAAATGAGGGAGCTATTTAGAGATGGTGTTCAGTCAATGAGGATGAACTACTATCCACCATGCCCTGAACCCGATAAGGCCATCGGATTCTCGGCTCACTCGGATGCAAATGCTCTAACAATTCTCCTGCAACTCAATGAAACAGAAGGACTGCAAATCCGGAAAGATGGGAGATGGGTTTCTGTCAAACCAATTCCAAATGCATTTGTGGTCAATATAGGTAACATCATAGAGGTACGTATAATGAGTTAGTCTTTGGATCGTTGGTGATGAAATTTGTTACTATAATTTGGGCTGTGTTTGTTAATGCACAGATTGTAAGCAATGGCGTATACAAGAGCATTGAGCATAGAGTGACATCAAATTGTTCAAAAGAAAGGCTTTCAGTTGCAACATTCCACGGTCCAAATCTAAGCTTGGAGTTGGGTCCTGCAAAGAGTGTTGTAGGGCCTCATAACCCACCGAAGTTTCGAACTGTCCCTTTGGTGAAGTACTTCAAAGGCTACTTTGCTAAAAAAGTAGAAGGAAAGTCATACCTTGATCAAATTAGAATTCAGAACCAATGAAGTAAGTTGCAGTTAGGACACACTCACTATCGCCACTCGGCCAAATTCATGGAGTCCTGGGTTGTCTTGGGTTTAGAGACCACTTGTTGTGCACGGATGATACAACCTTCAATTCTCTCTTATACCACTGGTTGTAATCTAATAGCACAATTAAAATGATTTAATCTCCCATTGTTGTAGCGGAATGTAACAATCAAAATATTCTAATATTCAATTGTTGTAACTGAAGCAATATCGATCGCACTCACACACCCACAAAAACTGAAATTAAACAAAGAGACACAAAGATTTACATGGTTCGGAGGGAAGAAATTCCCCTACATCCATGGGCAAAGTCTCTTTTACAAAGTTCTTTCCGATTGCCTTTAGACAAATACAAAATGGCAATGACTCAACATCTAATCCAAATGCCATTCACATTGACTCCACACCTAACTAAAATGACACTAGACAAATACAAAATGACAATGACTTTACATGACTCCAACCAACCTTTACGTAGATATAACAATATTAATTCATAAATGAGAATATTAATATTATGAGTGAGTTAATAACCAAAATAGGTAAGAAAAGCAGTGAAAATACTTATAAAGTAAATGGTATTTAATAACAGGTCATGACAACTTACAACATGGACATGCGCCAATCATTTTCAATGGAGATTCTAAACCGTCAGTACTGATCATCGATCTTTGCCGACGTGGTTGCTGCAAAGAGGCTGTTGAAGCTTACTCAAAAGAGTTGAAGGACTGCAAATTCGGGAAGATGAAATTTATCTTAATTAATTAAAAAATTAATATTTTTTTTTAAAAGAAAACCTGATTATAATAAAAAATTAAAAAAAGTTCGCAAATATCTAAGGCTCTATTTATTTATAAGAAATTACAAAACACTATCAAGTTTATTTGATATTAACGAATAAGAACTAACTAATATAAAATAATAATAATAATAATAATAATAATAATAAGATAAAAAAAGAGGTAGGCTTTTATAGAGTGAAATTAATTGAGAGGAATGAAATTGTGTTTCTTTCTATATCAAATAATTTATGTTCCAATTTTAATTTTATTTTGGTAAGTTCACTAATTATTTGATTGTTTATAGATATAAATGAAATTTTCAATTAAAAAATATTTAAAGGAAAACACCCAACGTGTTGGTATTTCTAGAAGCATTATTTATTTTATAAATTTGAAGTTCCGAATTAAATATAATTTAAAAGGCAATATCGTTTATATTATACAAAATAGGAAAGAAAGAAATAAGTATACTGAATACAATGTTTCTAGAAGAAGGCTTACGTGGAATCGTGATTTGAGTTCATGAGATTATAATTCCTTCCCATATTTTCGCTCACATGAATCTCACTCTATCGCCTTCAGATGTTTCCGAATTTTTCAAAGAACAGAAATCGATGCCATTGTTGTTCTTTAAATTCAATCCTCAGTAATATTTAATCCCGCAATCTTGTTTCTCAAATTTCACTTTTCTTCATCAATCTTGAATCATCTTTCACGTTACGTTTGATTACCCTCTTAACACAGCCCTGTTGCCTTTTCCTTTTATCTCTTCTCCTGCTTTTGCACCCACCTGAACCGCCATGGACGGCAGCGACGCCCCTACTGACTCGCCGCCGGGTCCTCGGAATGGACGAGACGGTCAGAAGGTCCCTATCTATAAACTCTTCACATTCGCCGATCGGTTCGACGTTATGTTGATGATCCTCGGCACCGTCTGCGCTATCGCTAATGGCATCTCTCAGCCAATCATGACGCTTATTTTCGGCAAGATGATCAACTCCTTTGGCTCCTCCGATCAGTCTGATGTTGTCACTCAAGTTTCCAAGGTGCCTCGGTGTTTTACTTTATTTTATATTTTAATACACAGATTCCTGCTCCAAACCTAGTTCCTTATTTCGCCTGATCTTTTATTATTAATATGTTTTCAACCTCCTCAAAGTATTAATAACTTTTATGTATATATATTTGGAGTTACTTTGTTGTGGAAGCTTTCTAATATTTGGTGAATTTCTGATCCTCAATTAATTCAATCCAATCGTAGTTGTTTGAAATCGTTTTAGAGAACAAAATTTGATTCCTATACTTAAAAAAGAATCCTCAAATATGCCTTAAAATCTTGTAATTGTTCGGGTGCAAATAATTTATCCTGTAAAAGAAACGTAAATGCTGGAGTGGATTGACTGAGTCTAGATTCTCTGTTGTTCAGGTTCATGTGATATGATAAGTCATGTGTTGTCGGTTCATTGGTCCAATAATCTACTTTAGTGATAAACACTTGTCTCTCATGATCTCTATTTCTCAATCCAACAAGTTCTTGCTTGTTCTTTAAGCCCCAGAGATTTCATACCTTCTTTTGTTTTTTTTTTTTTTGTTTCCTTTCTGTACAGGAAAAAACCAAAAAAGAAATATAAATCTTACTGTATATATTTACCTTTTAATCTTTTTGGCTTCCAGATTTCTGTAGACTTCGTGTTCCTGGGAATTGGGACTGGAATTGCTTCGTTCCTACGTAAGTTGTAACAAATGTTTTTCATCTGTGATATTCTGTTTTAGATTGTCTTCTTCCTCTTTTAGTCTAAGGAAGACGTTCTAAATGCTGGTTTGAGCTTAGATATAGAGCTTAAGCACTGTTCATGGTGTTAATGGATATTTGAAAACAATCAATTGCAGAGGTTGCATGTTGGATGGTAACAGGAGAAAGACAGGCAGCACGTATTCGGGCATTGTATTTGAAAACAATACTAAGACAGGACATTACATTCTTTGACACTGAAACTACAACTGGAGAAGTTATTGGTCGAATGTCTGGAGACACCATTTTGATACAAGATGCCATGGGAGAAAAGGTATGTGTTCTTCTTTTACTAAATGACTTCTATTCGGTTCTATTTCTATACTCACCAAATTTAGTATCATAATTTTGATTGTTTGATAGGTGGGGAAGTTCATACAGTTACTATCAACTTTCCTCGGTGGTTTTGCGGTTGCCTTCATGAAGGGATGGCTTCTTGCTGTGGTTTTGCTCTCCTGCATTCCTGCAATTGTAGCTGCTGGTGGTGCCACATCACTTATCATGTCTAGAATGTCAAGCCGTGGACAGATTGCTTATGCTGAAGCAGGGAATGTAGTAGAACAAACAGTTGGGGCTATTAGAACAGTAAGATTAAGTTCATTCTCTTGAATCTTAAGCTATCTTTCTGTAATCTGTAATTCACTTGTATGTATTGTTCTTTTTAATTATTCAAGGTAGCATCCTATACTGGGGAGAAGCAAGCTATTGAGAAATACAATGCCAAGCTGAAAATAGCTTACAAGTCAACAGTTAAACAAGGACTCGCCTCGGGTTTAGGAATCGGCCTAATATTGCTAATTGTCTTTGGCACCTATGGGCTTGCTGTATGGTATGGATCCAAGCTTATCATTGAGAAGGGATACAATGGTGGACAAGTCATCAATGTTATCTTTGCAATTATGACTGGTGGAATGTAAGTTGAAATTTTCATTTCAGCTGAATGACCGTCTTGCAGCCACTTTTTCTTATCAATGGAAAATTCATCAACATTTTTCTGGTCATTAGGTCATTGGGGCAGACATCACCAGTGGTCAATGCATTTGCTTCAGGACAGGCTGCAGCCTACAAATTGTTTGAGACAATCAAACGAAAACCAAAAATTGATTCCTATGACGCCAGTGGTATAACGCTGGAAGACATACAAGGTGACATTGAACTTAAGGATGTCTACTTCAGGTACCCTGCTCGGCCAGATGTGCAGATTTTTTCAGGATTCTCGTTGTTTGTTCACCGTGGAACAACTGCTGCACTTGTTGGACATAGTGGAAGCGGAAAGTCAACAGTTATCAGTTTACTTGAAAGATTCTATGATCCTGATTCTGGTGAAGTACTTATAGATGGAGTGAATTTGAAGAAATTAAAACTTAGATGGATAAGGAAAAAAATTGGTCTTGTTAGCCAAGAACCTATTCTCTTTGCAACTACTATAAAGGAGAATATACTGTACGGGAAAGAAAATGCGACAGAAGAAGAGATCAGAGCAGCAACTGAGCTTGCCAATGCTGCAAAGTTCATTGACAAGCTGCCTATGGTAAACCTCAAACTGTAGTCGTCGTCCACTTTATACTTTATGCTATGTTTCTGATTGCAAGTTTCTGGCTAATTTCCTTCTCTTTCTTGAATCTCAAAAGCTTTGTTACTAAAGTTTTAATAAGTCTGCATTTTATTCCGAAGGGGCTTGATACGATGGTAGGCGAGCATGGGACCCAGCTATCAGGTGGACAGAAGCAAAGAATTGCCATTTCAAGGGCCATTTTGAAAGATCCCAGGATTCTGCTCCTTGATGAAGCAACTAGTGCTTTAGATACAGAATCAGAGCGTATTGTTCAAGAAGCACTTGTAAGAGTGATGGAAAATCGGACTACCGTGGTTGTTGCACATCGCTTGACAACTATAAGGAATGCTGACACTATAGCAGTGGTGCATCAAGGGAAACTTCTTGAAAAAGGTTTGCTTCAGAATCAACTAATTTGAGATTTCCATTCCTAAGGTTTACAATGTAGTTAATAAAGTGAACAAATTTTGAAATTTAGGAACACATGATGAACTGATCGAAAATCCTGATGGAGCTTATTCCCAGCTAGTCCGTCTGCAAGAAGGAACTACAGCAGAGACAGCAACTAACCTAACCAATGATACAGTTGATGTAGACAATAGAATGGACAGTCTTGATAGTAAGAGAACATCAATGAGGAGATCCGTAAGTAGGGGTTCATCAATTAGTCGGCCTTCATTCACTATGAACTTTGGCATTCCGGGTTCAGTTCATATCCAAGATCAAGAAATCGATGAGGACGGACCAGAAAGAGCAGACATTGATCCGAAAAAGCGTAAAAATGTTTCATTGAAACGATTGGCAGCCTTGAATAAGCCTGAAATTCCAGTTTTGCTCCTTGGATCCATCGCAGCAGTACTGAGTGGCATAGTTTTTCCTATATTTGGCCTTTTACTCTCAAGTGCCATTGGAATGTTCTATAAACCCGCAAGCCAGCTTGAGAAAGAATCCAAGTATTGGGCACTTGTGTATCTTGGTCTAGGATGTCTCATATTCTTTGCTGCACCTACACAGAATTTCCTTTTTGGAATTGTAGGCGGAAAGTTAATCGAACGGATTCGGTCTTTGACATTTGAAAAGATTGTCCACCAACAGATTAGCTATTTTGATGATCCTGCAAACACAAGGTCAGTTTAGAACTTCGAAATCACTGCATTAACATCTTTATCTCATCATTAACTCTTAATAAGCTAAGCTCCGTCCTATGTTTCAGTGGCGCAATTGGTGCAAGGTTGTCCACCGATGCTGCCACAGTTCGAGGACTTGTAGGGGATGCCTTGGCCTTAGTAGTCCAGAATATTGCAACCATCACAGCTGGGTTAATCATAGCATTCTCAGCTAACTGGATATTAGCTTTGGTGATTCTAGCCGTGTCGCCTTTGCTGCTTGTACAAGGTTACCTCCAGACCAAGTTCACGAGAGGGTTCAGTGCAGATGCCAAGGTTAGTTTGTCTAATCTACCAATTCTTTCGTCAATTGATGAAATGCAATTCTTAAGCTAATGCTAACTCTGATGCAATACAGGTCATGTATGAAGAAGCTAGTCAGGTCGCTAACGATGCCGTTGGCAGCATCAGAACTGTTGCATCATTTTGCTCTGAGAAGAAGGTGATGGACTTATATGAAAAGAAATGTGAAAATCCAGTCAAAAATGGAGTTCGCCTAGGACTCGTCAGTGGCGCCGGGTTTGGCTTTTCTTTCTTTGCCCTCTTCTGCACAAATGCTTTTTGCTTCTACATCGGATCCATTCTAGTGAAGCATGGCAAGGCAACATTTCCGGAAGTCTTCAAGGTTAAATGATAAACGATACCATGTTTTTCTTTTCGCCACTTCCATTTAGAATCAATCACTAATCTGAATGTTCTCCATTTGCTGTTGCAGGTTTTTTTCTCTCTTACAATTTCTGCCATGGGTGTTTCCCAAGCCACTGCCTTGGCTCCTGATAGCACCAAAGCCAAGGATTCCGCAGCTTCTATATTTGAAATACTCGACAGCCAGCCTAAGATCGACTCAAGCAACACCGAAGGCGAGACACTTGCCACTGTAACTGGCAATATCGATTTTGAACATGTTAGCTTCAAGTATCCAACAAGACCAGATATTCAAATTTTCCGAGATTTATGCTTAAGCATCCCTTCAGGAAAGGTAAAAACGATATTAAAACATAATCTAATTCAATAAGTTTCACCAAAATTCGGTTTAACAGCTTGCAATTCGAGAATCCTGCCTTCTGTCTGTTCTTCTAAGAATATTCTCTGGTGCAGACTGTTGCATTGGTTGGTGAAAGTGGCAGCGGGAAGTCGACAGTAATCAGTCTGATAGAAAGGTTTTACGACCCGGACTCCGGCCGCGCTCTTCTGGACGGGGTGGAAATTTTCAAGTTCAAACTAAGCTGGCTGAGGCAGCAAATGGGATTGGTCAGCCAAGAGCCAATCTTGTTCAATGAAACAATTCGCTCCAACATAGCTTATGGAAAACCAGGAAATGCAAGCGAGGAAGAGATAGTTGGAGCAGCAAAAGCAGCCAATGCACATAATTTCATCTCTTCATTGCCTGGTGGCTATGAAACCTCAGTAGGAGAAAGAGGAGTTCAGCTATCAGGAGGCCAGAAACAGAGGATAGCCATTGCTAGAGCCATACTAAAGGACCCAAAAATTCTTTTGCTGGACGAGGCCACGAGCGCACTCGATGCCGAGTCCGAGCGCGTAGTACAAGATGCATTAGATAGAGTGATGGTTAACAGAACCACGGTCGTTGTGGCCCATCGCCTCACCACCATTAGAGGGGCTGACATCATTGCTGTGGTAAAAAATGGTGTGATTACAGAGGAAGGCAGCCATGATGTGCTGATGAAGATCAATGATGGGGCTTATGCGTCCTTAGTCGCACTCCATAAAAGTTCATAACTTGAGAAGGATGAAACTAAAAAATCACTTCTACACAGATTAGATGATCCTATACAGGATCTTAAATCATTTTTTGACACATTTATTATTTTTGACATAATTTTAACATTTTAAATTCCTCCCCATATTATACCATTTTGTTAATTGATAATCACATTTATCATTATAAATTTTGACGAGTTATATTCCTCTCCAGTCTCCAATCTCTATCCATTTATGTTTTTATATTTTTTTTTCCAAAATTAAAAAAAAATAATAAAAATTTGCTTGATTTTTTTGAAATATTTTTTCCAATTTGGCATTGAAGAATTTTAATGACATTTTTATATAATTATATTTGAGAGCTTTACTTGCCAACAAATTTGCCTAGCTGTACTTCGTTTTATAATTTAATTTTTTTGTAACTTATTTATGTCACTAGCATTTAGCCGTTATTTGAATAATGCATGACATTGACAGCTGTCGGTAAGGCTTCACTTTTATCATAATATTAAACCACACACATATATATATATATATTAACGAGAAAATAATAATATATCAAGGAATGATTAGGTTCCCCCTAGGCCCCAAATTCAAACCATATATTATTATTATTTATTATAATTATCTTGGAGAATGGACTTGTGTACTTCGTACTCGGAAAGACTCAAAAAGTTCATATTTGAAAACCTTACAATGATTTTTAAATTAATAAAAATAGGATTATTCATATATTACAAAAAGATATATTTTGTTATTGTTTTTTATTTAATTTTTCTCCCATTAATTTAAATATGAAATATATTTAAATCTACTACTTCAAATTTGAAAGACAGTATTGGAAATGTAATCATTAAAATTAACTGACCGTTTTTTAATGAAAAAAGTGACCCACCAAAGTTCCAAAACTAGAGGGATAAAAATGGAATATATATATTTTTTTATTTTTTATTTTTAATGATTTTGAAGGTTGGGGGAAGGGGTTAGCAAATTTAGTGAGGGAAGTTCCAGATGGTGATCCGCAGGAGCCCACCCCCACCTGTCCTTCCTCCCCGCCATATCCTATTTTTATAACGCTTTCCTCTCATCATTCAATATAACATCCTCTGCCAACCCCGAACCAAGGTAAGGGAATACACGCACAATAAAGGGTTCCCGTTCTCTGAGGCTGCGGAGCCCCCGAGTTCCTGCTGCTCCAGAAAACTCCCCCCTCCTCCTCCTCCTTTGCCTTCTTCTTCGATCATCATGCCATCAGGTGCTAGGAGACGAAAAGCAGCCAAGAAAAAGAAGGTATTGGAAGCGCATATCAACCCCTCTTCCAACACTTCTCAAGGTACACTCCCCCCCCCCTCTTCTTCGCCCTTCGATTCGATCCTCGTCCACTCGCTCTAATATTATGTAATTTCTGAAGTGGTTTTTCGTTCTTGCTTTTCGGATCGGATTTGATTAGATTTGCTTTTGATTCGAACCCTTGTAATTTCAATCGCGATCTTCCGGTTGAAATTGTTGGGCTAAATATCTGTTTCTGTTACTGTTGGGATATCTTAAACTAAAGTTCTTTGATTGTTTTGGAGAGCGATTTGGCTTGAATTAGATTACTGCGAGCTGCTTCATTGTCTCATACCTACAAAGCCCTTCGAAATAGATTTACCCTTTTTTTCATCTCGTGATTTACATAATTCTGTTTTGATTTATTCTGATTAGAATTTTCCGATGCCAGGAAAGGAGGGTGTTAAGAACCGTAATTCTGCTTCTCAGAATAACCCAAGCCACAGCAATCCGTTTGGTGAAGGGAATAAGGAAATAGAAGAGAGCAGCTCATCAAACGCTGGGGGAGGCCTGAGCAATGTAGAGACAAACCAGAAAGGGGGACTTACATCTAAGACAAAAAATGATACTGTTCAGAATGAATCAGACAAAGGTTCTCATGACGATGATCGTAGCAGCAGCAGCAGCAGCAGCAGCAGCAGTAGGAGTAGCAGTTCAGATGACGAGTCTATACATTCAACAAAGAAACCTGAGGTATGAATCTACTTTGATAAATGGATTTGTTTTCATCACTAGAAACTTACAAGATGAATGGATAGGAACTGCATGGGAAGACCGGCGATTTGGTCGCGTCGACTGCTGCCTCTATAGCTAACTTGGCTATGCCAGGGGTATCGGCATCTGAAGGAACTATCAGCATTGTCGAAAATGCGTTTGCTGAAAATGGTTCCATATCTGATATGATCGCTTCGAAAAAGTTGGAGACAGCTACAAAGGAACAATCATCAAAGCCAAATGAAGATGGAGATTTAGATTTATCAGGTTGATCAGTTTATGAGGGCTTTTTTTCTGATGCCTATGAATTTGCTTCTAAATTGTTAGTTTGTGTGACTGAATCTAATAACGTTGCAGCACACGCGGAAAGTCCAGAAAATTTCAAACCTGAAGCTGAAGATCAGGTTATTTTTCAGAGTTCATGTTATTGCTATATAGGACAATCGCACGAGCATGACCGTGACACATAGTAGCACATCATTTGTTAATTGTTCTATGAGAAATGAGGCTTTTGTTTTCCTTGTGCAGCCGTTGATTGAATCGAGGCCACCAGTGCCACAAAGAACATCATGGTTGAGTTGCTGTGGTTTATGTGATGTATTTACTGGCTCGAACCGATAGTTCAGCGCACGGTTTCTATATATTGGGTTACAACCCGACCTTTCTATTTATCGACGATTATGTTGTGCAATATTGAGTTGTACTCAGATGATCTGTTTCATGTTGGGACAGGGATGAAGAAGTCTTCGCAGAACGGTTGAAGGTTTAAGCAAGGACCGATGTTTACGAGAGCACGATAAGATAGTCATCAAACGTGATGAGGCGAGGCTAAGGTAGATCATGTTCATGGATTTATAAAGCTAGCAACCTGATGACATTCCCTTGCTACATGTGTTTTGTCTTTCAGTGAGATTTCTTTTGTTGGAGCACAGTGTTCTTGATTTCACAAAACAATTCATTACTGTTTCAATTATGTTGATAATCAGCCATCATCTTCCTTTCGTATTCATATGACATCTGATATTTGCTTGGCCGAATGAATTCTATCTCTCTCAAGTTTGTAATGCAACGTTTTTCCAACGACTTCATTTTCGATTAGACCACTTTTTCACTGTTTTCTGCTCGTTTCCAAAAACGTGTGCGTACTGTTGGGGTCCAATGAAGTAGATTACTGTTTCTACTTCATCTGCCATCACGGGCAGGAAGAATTGTGTTGAATGAAAGTCCCACATCAGTTAATCAAATACTATCTCCATTGGACCCCAAAGCAAACCATGAGAGCTTGTGCTCAAAAGTGGACAATGTTATACCATTGTGGAGAGTCGTGTTCATCTAACATGGTATCAGAGTCATGCCCTAAACTTAGTCGTGTTAATAGATTGGTAAATCCTCGAATGTCGAACAAATGACTCCAAAAGAAAATGAGTCAAGCCTCTTAGGCATAGTAAAAAATGACAAACTCCAAAAGAGTCAGAGTCTTGATTAAGGAGAGACGTACTTTGTTTGAGAGAGGTGTTGGATGATGAAAGTCCTATTTAAGAAATGATCATGAGTTTATAATCAAATAATACTATTTCTATTGATATGAGGCATTTTTGGGGAAACTGTGCAATGCACCTCGTTACTTGTACTACTGACTCAACTTGAACTTGAACTGACTTTTATGAGTTAAAAAACGTTCTTATTTACACCAAGAAGTTGAATCAGTCACTTTCTTTTCTATTAAAACTTGCAATATTAAGAATTTGAGGGTGATTTGTTTAAAAGCACCCACACTAAATTGCGTCCAAAAATAGGCTTAGTTATAAAAAAAAATATTTATATTCAGAAGTAGCCATAATAAATATGTTATTTTAATATTTTAATTGATTTCTACGGTGATAATGAAAATTTAATATTACCACTCCTAAAATATAGGAATTAAAATTGGAACTTTATTTTCAGAAGTTAATAAATATAAAAGAAAAGAAAGATGAGAAGGTACGTTTTTGCGATCGCTTCCTCGTCCCTCTCAAAGGCCTCGAGTGAATTGAATTCTCCGTTGAGAAACGGCGATGCGAAACGTTGGCGCCAAATTACCAACTTTCAAAATTTTGCTATTGTCATTCCAATTCTCCCTCTCTGTTCAACGCATTGGCTGTTCTTTGATTTCCTCGAGTTCTTATATTTGTTTGTTTGGAACCAAAAGGTTCTCTGTTTCGACCACTCCCTCTTACAATTATTGGCTTTCTCTTCATCTAAGAAACGGAAGAATCAATGAAGCCCGATCATTCTTTGATGACATATCTTCTCCTGGTGTTAACTTATACACAATGATGATTGCGGGTTATGCAGAAAAAGGTAGGCTTGAGGATGCCCTGAAACTGTTCTATGAAATGCCTGTGAAGGATCTGGTTTCTTGGAATTCTATGCTCAAAGGGTGTCTCAAATGTGGGGATTTAAGTATGGCCTGGAACGTGTTTGACAAAATGCCGCAAAGGAACGTCATTTCTTGGACGACCATAATCGATGGGCTGCTGGAGTTTGGGAGAGTTGAGGTTGCTGAGCGCTTTTTCTGGGAGATGCCCACTAGGGATGTTGCTGCCTGGAATTCCATGGTTCATGGATACTTTAGTAATGGTAGAGTTGAAGATGCCGTTGAGTTGTTTGAGAAAATGCCTTTCCGGAATGTGATTTCGTGGACTTCAGTGATTGGTGGGCTTGACCAGAATGGAAGGAGTTACGAAGCTCTACTTGTTTTCCAGAAAATGTTGGCTTCCTTTATCAAACCCACTTCGAGCACGTTGGCCTGTGCATTGACAGCTTGTGCAAACATACGTACTTTCGTCATAGGTGTACAGATTCATGGTCTAATTGTTAAGACTGGTCACTGCTTTGATGAATACATAGCTGCTTCCCTTATAACATTTTATGCAAACTGCAAGCTAATACAGAATGCTTTCGACATTTTCAACGAAGATTTACGGAGAAATGTTGCGGTTTGGACGGCTCTTCTAACGGGATATGGATTGAACTGTAAGCACGACGATGCGTTACGGGTTTTCAAGGGTATGATGAGAATGTGTGTGCTTCCTAATCAATCTTCTCTGACTA